ATGAGTTTATTATTATTAAATTAGTAAGTGGAAAATTTATTGTATCCTTAGTTCAATACTAATTAATTAACCGTTCACGGTTGCTCAGCTCTGTGGATCAGTTGAAGTTAGACATTAACACCGTTGGATGCCAGCTCAGTGGTCTATCGGTTAAGGGCTTCGGCTGGTGACTGGTAGGCCCTGGATTCGAATCTGGCAAGAGTGGGTTCGTGGATGCGCACTGCTGAGGAGTCCCATAATAGGACGAGACGGCCGTGCAGTGCTTCGAGGTTTTCGATGGTGGTCTAGATTCAATTGACTCATGATTTCAACTATGAAAAATTAGTAATAATTGTTCAAATTCTAAACTATTACAACTTCAACTTAGTATTGTTTGTTTGAATCTTCCCATCGATTTGTTAGGACTGCAACTGGTCAGTCTCTAATTGGCATATGTGCATACTGTGCGTATTGCCTCGATATAGCCTTATTTCACAAGCATGGTTAGCAGAGATGGATAGTGGCTAGCAGTGGAATCCAGTTTGTTGCGCGTTTCGTCCTATTTGGGACTCGTCAGCAGCATGCACCCGCATCTGAGTTGATGTTCACTCTGGGATTCGAACCCAGTACCCTCGCTTCAGGACTCAGTGACCGAGTGGATAACGAGATGGCGTTTGAAGCGAGGGTACTGGTTTCGAATCCCAGAGTGAACATCAACTCAGATGAGGGTACATGCAGCTGACGAGTCCCAAATAGGACGAAACGCGCGTCCTAGATTTCACTGCTAGCCACTATCCATCTCTGCTATTACAACTTCAGTTTTGAATTATTATTTATTTAAACACATAAATATTGGTACAAACGGGTACCAGATACATATGCGACAGATAAATCTCATTGGATTTGTGTAAGGGTTATAATACTGCCCAAGTGGCCAAACTGAAACAGGTGGTTTTCTTAGGGAGCCACATCCGGAGCCTTTGACCTAAGGGTCTGATCCACAAAACAATGGAGCGTCATGAGGAGATTTAGCCCCATGGTAGCCGGTGACCAATGATTGATTCATATGCCATTTGTTTCCTCAGGATACTGGAGCCAGCCCATGTGCACCATTGGTTTGGAATCAGGGTTTTCCGACCCCCCTAGGTGGAATTTTCGTGTCCAGCAACCCTATTAAAGCTCCTGATATTCGCTTCTCGTTCTCTCAATTTCGTGAACAACACCCGTGGTGTGAGAAGGCAGTGAGTAGGACTTCCGTGACAGAGGTTATATTCACATGGCCATGTAAGATCATTTTGAGAGGGTGATCGGACTCTCCACACTCTCGGCTGTACCAGGGCATTTGAGGGCTACAACTTCAGTAATTAAGAAAGTAAACTTTTAATAATCAGTAGCAAAATATTAGCTAAACAAACTATGTTAAATTAACTCTTGGTAAATTTAGATTGATATCATGAATGAATCAATGTTAGACCATGATTGAATACCTACAAGCACTGGATGGTCCTAGTATGGAATGTCTCAGCAGTGTACATGTACGATGCAGCACGTGTACGCTTAAATTTTAGATCACTGAGCCCGGCATCTAACGGTGTTAATGTCTAAATTATTATCAACATTTTAGTATATTTTAGTATTCATTACAATTATTATTATTATATAAGAAATCGAACTATACCATTTTACATTTGTATTTAAAACTTGAAAATTGTAATAAAAAGCCAATATACTATTATCATGCATTTAAGCTTGAATAGCTAATATATTTTATTTTGAAGTGGTTAGTTTGAAAGAGACTTACTGAAAAATCTATTCTTGAATTAACTTCATAGCATTCAGCAGAACAATTAAGTTATTAGTATTGAAAAAGAAATGAGTCATCTTCCATTTAAAGACTTGTTACTCTATGAATAGATGTTACATTTGTAGATTTCTTGAAGATATGACAACTTTCACTGACCTAGGCAGCATCATCGATGAACAAGAAGGATCCAATGAAGACGTAAAGGCGAAGATTGACGAAATAAAGGCAGTATTTCTACAATTGAAGAACATATGGAACTCAAAACAACTGTCAACCAATATCGAAGTCAGGATCTTTAATATGAATGTCAAGACAGTTCTATTGTACGAAGCTGAAACTTGGAGAACTACCACAACAATCATCACAAATGTATAAGTATTGATAAACAATTATATACGCAAGATATTCAATATCCGTTAACCGAATACCATCAGCAGGAGCCTACTGTGCGAGAAAACAAACCAGCTTCCAGCTGAAGAGGAAATTAGGAAAAGATGCTGGAAGTGGATGGAAAATGCTGGTGTGTGTCCTATTTTCCTCGACGAGGGGTAACTAGTGTAAGTAAGTAATTATATGGGCAGATTGTGTTGCTCACACTGAATTTAGCTGAAGCACAGTTAGAAACTAGAAAGCACTGGATAACTGTTTCGTTATAGCATTCACTTCTTCAGCAGTAGGCATCCACGATCTTGCTGGAAGCAAAACCTCTTAGACCAAACTATAATAATAAGTCCATTAGTGGCTTACTAAAAGATTTTTCCGAAGATCTCATGGAAATTCGTGGCTGGTAGAGTCCAAACATGTTTTTGGTAATGCAGATGTCACCAATGAAACTGGATAATCACAGAGCTAAATTGTAAATTGATTTAAGTTGAAATTTTACTACTGAAGGCTGATTCAATTATTCTAATTGTGAGTCGTATCCCACGATTTATGAGGTCCTAATTTCGTCAGCTTACTAGGATGTGGATTCTCACTAAAAATAAAATAGTCTCCACAAAACTCTTTCAGTACTATATTTACTAATGTAGATGTAAGTATTTAATGAATCAATTCGAAACAATAATGTAAGTGTACTTTTATTTAGGACACTGATCTAAGAGATGGACTATTATGGCTTATCATAAATCTTCATTCATTACTCTGGGACGTGATTTAAAAAATAAATTTGGATCAAAATCACTGAATACGTGAAATAGTAAGACGGAATGTCTGCATAACTAAACAAATTTTTCAAAATTTTCACTACAAACTGATGTGAGTTACATGTTTAGTTGGAAATTATAGAGAACTGTTTTACCTCAAAACACTGACCGCTTAATATTGTAAAGTAAAAATCTTAAGTGAAATGGAGTTTCGACCTTTACTCCAGCTAGCAAAATACATGAATTTAACAGAAAACCACTTAAATCTTTCATCTTTGTTCTATGATAAGTTCTCTTGTGTGTCCACATGGGTTATTCTAGCTTCTGAACATACCGATTTGCTTATTCTTCCTCTGAGTTATTCATTTAGTAACCATGAGTGTATGTTATCACTTACCCTATTCATCACATGTTTCTATGTAATTATTGTCTGACTACAAAAAATTCAGTCATACTTACTTGTCTTTTCTATTCTGCTTTTCATTCTGAGTATTTGTTTGAATAAACAAGTTCTTCCAATAGATACATCCAACTGAACCGGTATTTCACTTCCTATTACCAAGGTCACACAAATAGGTTTAGCCTAGAGTGTTGTAATATATGAAATGAAACGGAAGATTTGATGTTCGTGTCACAATTCCATACATCTATCCAAATTAGAATCAGATACAATATCTATACAATATCTAAATTAAGCAATTTATTACATCGCAACTCTTAGTTACATACTATTCAATTCTATTTATTAATAAGTAAAGTATTTCAGTGAAATATTAGTTCCTCTACTAATTATTCAATTATTTATACAATTGACCTGTCCAACTGAAACACACAATAATAAGATAATTAGTTAAAACCATCTTGGTATTTCACTAATATATATGTCCACATTACAAAAATCATTAGAATTTTTGGTTGACTTATCGGTTTCTTGAGAAAACTGTTATTAACAGAAGGGGGGGTTTGTGGAGATTTTAGTAATTTTATAGTTTAGATCATGAATAAATTGAAGTTAGACCATGATGGAAAACCTGAAAGCACTGGACGGCCGTTTAGTCCTATTGTGGGTCTCCTCAAAGAGTGGGCATCCACGATCCCGCCTCTCGAGATTCCAACCCAGAACCTATTAGTCTCATGCGCAAGCACTTAACCTCTAGACCACTGAACCGGCCAGCATCCAACGGTTTTAATGTCTAACTTCTACTAATTCACGAAATTGAACAACCATCCACCAACGTCTTCAGTGAGTTGATATCTCACAATAGATATTTCCTGGAGTTCTATTGAGAAGTAGTGACCAGCGGAGTACAACCAGGTCTGTTAGGAGATATCAACTCACTGAAGACAATGGTAGATAGGTTCCTCAATTTCGTGGATTGGTTGAAGTTAGACATTACCACAGCTGGATGCCGATCGGTTGAATGGTCTAATGGTTAAGTGTTCGCGCGCGAAACTAATAAGTCGTGGGTACAAACCTCGTGATGCGGGATCATGAATGCGCACTTCTGAGGAGTCCTACAATAGGACTAAACGGTTGTCCAGTGCTTCCACATTTTCCATGGTGATCACAACTATAAAACTGTTATTGTTTTTTATTATTGTTTTTATTATTGTTTTTTTTATTGAATAAAATCATGCGTCGTAATGATAGTCTAGACAAACAGCATTTTTTTAATGTGACTGACCTGAACTATTTTTTTAAATAAATAATTAATGAAGTAATTGAAGTCTTGTTTACATTATATTATAATGAATACTGACCATTTGATATTAACCCTCTCTCGCTCTTGCTCTCTCTCTCACACACACACATACATACATACATACACAAGTATAGAAGTAATATAATGATAGATATATATAGATCAGTATATAACCTTGACCTACAAATTCATTAATTAGACCATATACAGATACATATAAATATATAAATGTGATAAGATTTACCGAAATCATCATCATCATCATCATTATTCTTCATATCTGATTTACTACAATTATAACTTATTCACTAAACTGAATAGTCAGTATCAGTTTTGATAAAACTGATTTTTCTTTGAGAACTAAAGAAAATGAATAAATTACATAATACTACTACTGCTACTATTACCACTACTAATAATAATACTACTGATGATAATACTACTGATAATACTACTGATAATGATAAATTATCATTACAATCATCTAATAATTATGATTTAGAAGTGATTGTTGTTGGTTTAAATAAAACTGGTACTAGTTATTTAAAATATGCATTAGAATTATTATATCATGGTTCATCATGTTTTCATTATATTGATTTAATTTATCAATCTAATAATAATATAGAAAAATGGTTAGAATTAAATTTATGCCAATATCAAACAAAATTCAATGGGTTCCATTATAATAAACAAGAATTATTACGTATATTATTAAAAAATTATAAAACAGTATCCGGTATACCGATTACATCATTTTTAAGTGATTTAATACAAATGTATCCTAATGCTAAAGTAAGTTGAATTGTTATTTGTATTTTGATGTATATATATATATATATATCACATTTATTTACTAATGATTATGATTATATATGGTTGAATGCAAGAGTCCATTGAAACTAGACCATCATGGAAAATCTGGAAGCATTGGATAGCCGTTTAGTCCAATTTTGTGACTCTTTAGCAATGTACATCGAACCTAGGATCTACCAGTATCGCACGCGAGTGTTTAACCTATAAACTGAGGAGACCTACAATAGGACGAAACGGCCGTTCAGTGCTTTCAGGTTTTTTCATGGTGGTTTAGTTGAAATTGACTCTTGATTTCAACTATATATAAAATCTCCATATATAAAACTCTCCACAAAAACCCCCTTATATTATTATTATTATTATTTAAACACATAAATATTGGTACAAACGGGTACCAGATATATATGTGCCACACAAATCTCATTTGATTTGTGTGAGGGTTATGATACTGCCCAAGTGGCTAAACTGAAACAGGTGGTTTTCTTAGGGAGCCACACCTGGAGCCTTTGACCTGAAGGTCTGATCCATGAGGCAGTGGAGCATCGTGAGGAGATGTAACCCCATGGTTGCTGGTGAACAACGAATAATTCATATGCCATTTGTTCCCTCAGGATACTGGAGCCAGCCCATATGCACCATTGGTTTGGAATGGGGGTTTTCCAACTCCTCTAGGTGAACTTTCCGTGTTCATTAACCCGTTTAAAGCGCCAGACATTCACTCTCGTCCTCTCAATTTCGTAAACAACACTCCTAATGCGAGAAGGCAATGAGCAGAACTTTCGTGACAGAGACGATATATATGTGGCCATGTGCCAGCATTTTGAGATGCAGAGCGAACTCTACCCCACTCTCGGGTGTACCAGGGCATTTGGGGGCATTTATCTACAATACAATTTAATTGACTAACCTTTGAAAATTTGACAGTAATTTGTTGTTAAAATCATCTTGTTATGATTAACGTTCTGAATGGTATGAGTTTGAATTACTAGGTCATTAGATCGATCCTTATGAAAGTCACCATGTTGATTTTGAAGTTGGGCTTACATGGATTCTTTCATTTGTTTCATCAACACTATTGAAAACGTTTTCTAGTACTGATAGTAATGTGATGCCTCTGTAGTTTTCATATCTGTTAAGATCTCCGTTATTTGATATCTTGATGAGTTATCCTTCTTTTTAGTCTGTTGATATTTGTCCTACCTCCTAAATCTTTATCAGAGAACGTAGAACATCTTCGCTGTTACATCTATGCCTGACTTCAGTGCTTTAGTGGGTATGCTGTTTGGTCTTGCTGCTTTCTCAATCTTGATTTGTCTAACTGCCATGTTGATTTCTTTTATTGTTGATGTGGTAACATTTACAGGAAGGTCTGTTTATACGACTTCGTTGTCTGTTGGTTCATTGGAACTGATCTGTTCAAGGGTTCTTCAAAGTATTCTACAAACCATTTTCACTCTTATTGAATCTCAGTGGTTATTACGTCTTTATTGTTCTTGACTAGTCGCTATGGCTTACCATATTTCTCCACTAACTTCTTGGTTGCACCATTTAGTTGTCTAACATTGTCTTCTTTTGCTGTTATTTTCGTCTATCGCTTCTTGATCATCCACATATTTTCTCTTATCAGATTTAACGCTCTTCACTTACTAATTGGCTTTGATCGTCTAAATTTAGCAGACGTACACAAAAGTAGAGTTGTATAACTATTTTGCATGTTTGATCAAACAAATGAGCTTAACAACACTGACTATCGAACATAAAAACCCTTACTACTCTGCAACTGACCAGCATATTCACTGTAGTGCTACTGAAAGTCAATCTTGATCCGATTAGCTGGGTGTTATTATTGCTTAGTGAGAAGCAGGTTCTTACTTCCGACCAACCTCCGGTTGCCCTAAATGAAACTATCAATCAAATTTAACCTATATCATAAATTTTCCTTTTCATTCTTCTGACTTCTGTTGAGTTTGGTTTTAAAACAAGCACCAACTGCATGGCTTTTCAAAGAAGTCAGCATTTATAGCTAGTGAATGAAGCTTTTTACTATGAAATGGAAGGAATCTTTGTATTTTTTATCTGAGACTGTGGACTTTTATGGTTTGGAAGGCTCCCTCTACATTGATATGTTTAACTATAACAAATAATCCATGTATTTATTCTTTCGAACAACATTTATTTATCTGGTTGTCCAGGTTTAATAGTAAATTGGGATGTTAGGTGGCTGAATGTAGACTCTAAGAAACTCTGAGTGATCTAGATTTCGTGCCAGTTAGGACTTGGCAACAAGGCGTATCTGTTCGCTAAAGATAACTAATGAACTCTGTGAGATCCTTGTTAACCATGCAGCTTCCCAGTTTTAGACGTTATCATTAAGCTGAATAAATCGCGACTGCGACTCTATTAGAAATGTAGTTGATATAGAGTCACTTAGATTATTGACCACATTGCAAATCTATAGACAGGAATTCGATCAACACCAAAAGATTAAAGAAATACAACGTTAATCACTAGTCAGTAATCAATTAATTATGATAAAATACTGTTGGAAAGTACATTCAACAGTGTATCTCTGAAATATTCCACTGTTTAACGGTTTATTCTGTTCATGTTAGGAATGTTGTTTAGACATTTGATTATTGCTTGAAAATTTTTTAAGTATAATTGTGATCGTTTGTAACATGGTATTCTTAAATGAATCTTTTGTAAATATTAAGTTTTCCTTATTGTAGTAATAATAATAAAAAGAAAATTTCGAGATTAATACAATAGGGAATTTGTGGAGATTGTTGAATTTCATTGTTAAAATCATGGTCTGATTATCCATATTGAGTATGATGCAGTTACTCATTAATAGCATTGAAAGATTATTGTACAATATCGCAGATTGGTTATAGTTAAGTATGTAAACCCGTGAATCCAAGCTCAGTAGTTTAAAGTTTATGTGCTCATCATGCGACTTGAAGGTCACGGGTTTAATCCTCTGCAAAGTAATGACCACACTCCTAGGAGGTTTTATATTACCAGGAAAGCGCTGTACACAGGCACGTAGTTCTCAATAGTTGTTCAATAAATATCAGTCAGACAGTTCTACTGAATGGGGTGGGAACTTGGAAAATCACGAAAGCCATCATACAGAAGATACAAGTGTTTATTAACAGTCATCTACGCAAGATACTTCGGATCCGTTGGTCAGACACTATCAGAAACAACTTACTTTGGGAGAGAACAAACCAGATTTCAGTGGAGGAAGAAATCAAGAAGAAGTGCTGGAAGTGGATAGACCACACATTGAGGAAATCACCCAACTTCGTCACAAGGAAAGTCCTCAAATAGAATCCTGAAGGCCAAAGGAGAAGAGGAAGACCAAAAGGCACATTTTTCTGAGAAATGGAGACAGATATGAGAAAAATGAACAAGAATTGGATAAAACTAGAAAGGAAAGCCGATAATAGTGTAGGTTGGAGAATCCTCATCGGTGGTCCATGCTCCATTGGGAGTAACAGGTGTAAGTAACTAACTAACTAATGTGATAGTTGATGTCGAAATTTTGTTTTTCATGCCATAACTAATGTTGTAGTGAACAAAACACTAGTTGGGGACAATCGAATGTACTTAAGCAAAAATTACAGACTATCTCAGTAAATTCTGACAACCATACAATGAACTGTCAATTTGCAAGTTAACAGCCAATTGTCTCAATTTTCACTGTTTCTTCTCTAATTCCATTGTTCGTTCATTTTCCTTCCGATTGCGCTTCGTTTCAGTTCTTTCCTCATCAGTTTTCTGCGAAAATACATTCTATGCCTGACTAACACCATATACTACTTATATGGATATATAAGTATCAGTTGATGAGGTGATGAATCTTCATCGACTGAGATGGTTGGGCCATGTGTTACGTATGCCTGAACACCGATTACCACGACGCGCTATGATGACTAGTACTGGAGATTGTTGGAAGAGAGTTAGGGGTGGCCAAACCAAAACATGGCATCAGTGTTTGAAGTCACTAACTTCTAGTCTGAGCCATGTTGACAGATGCAGACTACCTGGTTGGGGTCCGCGTGACTATCGTAACCAATGGTTGGAGACTCTAGGTGACATGGCTCAGAATCGATCACAATGGCGTAAGTGTATACACTCTTTATCTTCCTTTAAACCTTGAGACTAAAATTGCTTCATATCTCTCTTCCTTCCTATACTATATCCTTATATACAACCTATAATTTATATACTACTACCACCACTAAATTAATTACTTCTATGAATCCGGTGTTCATCTTGTTGTGCTAACGAGGTATGGCAACTTGGACCGATGCATAAATGTGCCTGGTCCTACGTTGTAGCTGACTGACTGATATATAAGTAGACCACATCACAATGTCACTGATTAATCAACAATGTTTATTATATATTTTCACTTATCACTAATACTATATATTTATATATCTCTTTCATTCTTAGGTTATTTTAACCGTACGTAATGCTGAATTATGGCATGCTGCATGTCGTACAAATTTTATACCCTATAAAACTAATCAATCTAAATTACAAAAAATTTTTTCAAAATTAAAATTATGCTCATGGTTAATAAATATAAATCAGATTAAATTATTATCTATACAAAATACATTAGGTAAAACAATTAATTTAAATAATGATAATGAATTAATAAATGCATATAGTCGTTATAATGATTATGTTAAATTAATTGTACCAAATGAACGTTTATTAATATATAATATAAAACAAGGTTGGTTACCATTATGTGAATTTTTAAATAAACCAATACCATGTTGTAAATTTCCTGGTAATCATAAATTATTTTTATATCATAATATAATACGTTATAGTAAAAAATTATTTCATTTATTTATTTATATTTTTATTTATTTATTTATTATTTATTATTTTTTAAGTTTTTTTAGATAATCTCTATGATCCTTGATTTTTTTATTTTTCTTCTTTTTTTAATTTTTCTTTTTTTGTTGATTATTGTTATCATTTTATTTTGATGTACACGTAACCGCCCTCCCCCCCCACTACACACACAATGAACTACTTACAATTTAATAATCTATAATCCTTTTTTATTTTTATTTTTTTTGTTGATTATTATCATCATTATTGATGTACACACACACACAATCAACTATTTACAATTTGATAGTCTATAATCCTTTTTTTTAATTTTTTTGTTGATTATTGTTATCATCTTATTTTGATGTATACGCACACGTACCCCCCCCCCCAACACACACAATGAACTACTTACAATTTGAAAACAGTGAAGAAAACGACACAACACAAACACACACATATACATACATTAAACAATTCTACATTGTGATTATTTTTATCATTCAACTATTCTTTTATTATATAATCCTCTAATAATAAAATTGTTGGTTCAGTTATCTTTAAATAAATTGTTAATTATTTATTTATTAAATAAATAATAATGTAATATCAGATAGATGTGTGTGTGTGTGATTGTTTCTCTCTGTTCACAAATTACTTACTCTTTTTTGGTTTGTATACATAGTTCAAATGCTTTCTTTTCTTTGTTTTCTTTTTTTAATTAGTAACCAGATGTGACTAAACCTTGTAAATAAATCATTTCTTATTAATATGTCTTAAATTTTAATTCCAATTTGGTGACAGTTATTTATTGATAAATACTGAATGAAGTGAGTTTGTAATGATTATTTGGATAAGTAAGCAAAGATGGATAGTGTCTAGCAGTGGAATCCAGTTTGATATATATATATATATATATATATATATATATATGGGACTCATCAGCTGGATGTACCTGCACTGTGGGGCTCGAACCCAGTACTACTGAGTCCTGATAGCCACTTGCTTGTGTACCAAGGTGAAGTTTAAATTCACTTCAATCTTCCCATTGATGTTTAGGACTGCAACTGGTCAGTCACTTATTGGCATATGTGCATGCTGTGTTTATCATCTTACTTTGATGTATACGCACACGTACTCCCCCCCCAACACACACAATGAACTACTTACAATTTTAAAACAGTAAAAAAACAATACAACACAAACACACACATGTACATACATTAAACAATTCCACATAGTGGCCACAGTATTTGTCATAGACTATTTTCAATTGAACTAAGTTCCTGAAAATCTAGCACGTAGTTGTTACCAGAAAGGTTTAGACATTTTAAGAGTCTAGCATCCATTATGAATGGTGTTGAACGGTCATCATGCTACATCAGTGGTTGATTAAAGCTGGAAATTTATACCAGTGGAAGCCAACTAAATGGTCTACCGGTTAAACGATCGTTATCAGACCTGATGATCCTAGATTTCGTTGCTTTCAGGTTCAGGACTGAATTCTCCAGAAATTTACCTCACTAAAATGAAGTAGCTGTTCAGTGCTGTATGGTGTTCAGCTATATTGTGTGTTCAATTAATAAAAAAATTTACCGAGATATCGATTAAAATTGTTAAGTAGCAGAGCTGAATTGTAAAAATTCCCACCAAAATTTTCTTAACGTGAACAATTATCAGCCATATAATCAACACAAACATACAATTCAACAGAAATGTTTAGCTGTTTGAAATCGGATAAAACATGATACGATCACTTACCGGTTTGTATTATTTCCGGTACAATGAATACCTATGACACTGACTACTGGATAGTCTTATAGGTTTACACAAATCTATCTATTTTGGATCCGGAGCCAAATATTTCACCTTTTAAGTCCATTCAGAAAAATGAATTTCAAGAATAATCAGTTATTTAAACATTTCAGAAACTTTACAAATGGGTAATATTATTATTTGAAATTTATTTACTTGATTTTTGATTAATTTATAACTTTTCATAGTTGAAATCATGAGTCAATTGAAGCTAGACCACCATCGAAAACCTGGAAGCACTGGACGGCTATTTCGTCCTATTGTGGGACTCCTCAGCAGTGCGCATCCACGATCCCACCTCACGAGATACGAACCCAGGACCTATCAGTCTCGCACTAGAGCACTTAACCGATCGACCACTGAGCCAGCATCCAACGGTGTTAATTTATAACTCTTTAGTACAACATTTTAGATGCTTGAAATTTCTTAGAAACTTCTTTTGATATCTCTTCACCATTTGAAGTAGCTATTCAAACATAATGAATATAGTCTTTCTAGCGATTTTCAGTTTAATTAACTACCAATTCAAATATTCAAACATTTTTCTGTTGATATTAATCTTCTTCATGGATCAGTACATGTTATACAAACCTAATACATAAGGATGAGATCTGCCATTAATTTCAAAATGCTCGTAGCCAATTAAATATAGGAGTAATTGATACAAACTCATTAGTGATTAAGTTAGAGATCAGTTTTTCTAAGATATTCAAATAAGAGGCCAAGTCACAATAGATGCCAGAAATCAAGATTGACATTGATTATCGATTGATATTGAATTCGAATCTATTAGAACTGAATAACTTGCAAATTAGTGAACACTTTGATTCTGTGACTGAATTAAGACCACGTGATGATAGACTGTATAGTGGTAAGTATCCGCCTGTCACGTGGAAGGCCCAGGTTCGACTCCCAGGTCAGGGTTGAATGGCGAATTCAGGTGTGCGGCCTGTGCTCCTCCACGAGGGTTAACAGGCGTAAGTAATATATATATCGAGCCCCCAAATGCCCTTGTATGGCCAAGAGTGGGGGAGAGTCCGCTCTCCCTCTCCAAATGCTCTCATAAAGTCACGCGTACATAACCTCTGACAGGGAAGTCCTACTCACTACCTTCTCGCACCACGGGTGTTGTTTACGAAACTGAGAGGACGAAAAGCGAATCTCCGGAGCTTTAACTGGGTTGGTGGACACGGAGGGTCCACCTAAGGGAGTTGGAAAACCCTGATTCCAAACCAATGGTGCACATGGACTCCAGTATCCTGAGGGAACAAATGGTGTATGAATTAATCGTTGGTCACCGGCTACCATGGAACTGTATCTCCTTACGATGCTCCACTGTCTTGTGGATCAAACCTTTGGTCAAAGGCTCCGGGTGTGGCCCCCTAAGAAAACCACTTGTTTCAGTTTGGCCACTTTGGCAGTATCACAGTCCTCACACAAATCAAATGAGATTAGTGTGCCACATATATATCTGGTGCCCGTTTGTACCAATACTTGTGTGTTTAGATAAATAAATAAAGTTGATAGTCAAAGATCAATAGAAAGCCATATGAAGTTACTCCAAAACGTTTAATTCAATAATCTTAGAATTACCTTCGACTACATTGATCTACCATCATTTACCAATGAATTTCAGACAAACAAAAGTTTAAGATACCTGAATGCTATCTGAAACTGGCCAATATTGATTATTTTCAAATCTCAAAGCAAACGTTTTATGCGAAAACTGACTACGTTGCATCAACATTATAAAAAAACCCGTAAATTTTTTATAAATTCTTGTTAGGTAGCTAATACATTTTTCACATCCTACGTCATCATTAAACTCTTAATTATGGTTGTATTTTACTGATCATTAATTTCACAGTTGAAATCGCTAATTAATTTTAACTAGACTCCTAGTGAAATAAGAGGAGCACTGGGCCGCCGCTTTTTTCGTAGTATGGGACTCCTCAGAAGTGAACGTTCAAGGCACTGAATGTGGGAATCGCACCCTGAACCTTCGGTATTGGATGCGAACGCCTATTCTCTAAACTACTTAGCTAGAATCCAATAATGTTGATGTTTTACTTCAATAAATTCATGATTCTATTATCATATTATATTATTCCCATTAACACACAACTATTTGGTGTTCATTGAACACAACTATATTGCTGAACTGTATATGAGGAACTTTTTGTTCTGGCAACATCATCATAATGTTAAATGTTTCATATGCAGTCAGTATCCATCATAGATCTCATCTAATTTGTTTGTTTCTGCTTTATCCATGTACGTCGGAAAAGTATTTTATGGATATTTATGTGTATTTAACATATGGAAAAGCATTTCAACCTGCAGCACTGGTGGTGAATTGGTTTACGGTTCAGTCATTTAAAGAGTAAAATGTTCTAAATTTTGCAGCATCTCATTAAAATTTATTACTAAAATATGCGCTTTATATCATCTAAATGCTAACTGATTTCACAGGATTCGTAATGGTCTTTGGCACTGAATGGCTGGAAATAGTGGAAATTTTCTCTGTATTTATATAACGGTTTGAACACGGATAATGTACTTAGGAAAAAAAATCAACTTTATTCTATCAAGAGCAGGACCACTACATTTCAGTTTAGAGCATTTATGCACTGTATTTATGTCGTTCTTCCGGTACCTATAATCTTGAGGGAACTGGTGCTCCCTGATGAAGTCGATCCTGTGTCACTCAGCTTCACAGTCAAAGACGTTACCACTGAGCTATCCAGGTTGCGGCTGACTGCCTGTAAGAATGAGATGTATTTGCAATTGATTGATCACTGCTTCGTGCCAAGAAGCACGAAACATAGGTCCAGGGTTTCCTGTTGGCTACCTCCAACCACCATCTTATCTCAACATAATGCACGCAATGTCCAGTTACCTAGACTGGTGGTCACATTGCAACTTGGTCGATAGAATTCGATCTGCACTAAGAAGGACCAGACATACATGACATTGATCACCACCCAGTGATCAATCAATTGTATTCCGAAACGTCTTGTTTTTGTATTCTTCAGAAATGTTCACGTTTACTGGTATCTAAACATGAATATTAGTAAAATAATATGACATTGATTTGAATTTAGTAGACATTAATTTCCATGATAGAATACGCAACTTATAACCAGTATGAATAATTAAATATGATTCAAAATAAAATTTGACAATATTCACCTGACAAATTTGGTGAATCTTTCTTGAATATATCATTTATAATAGTTTCTTCTTCTTATTTTTCTGTCTATGAAGTTTCAAACATTTATACTATGGATAAAGGATTCTCCTTGACCGGTATTCAACGATTTAAAACA